AGAGAATATTCAATCAGTAACATTAATTTCACTTTCATTTGGCCAAAAAGTAAAGTGATTTCCTGCATTATGGGACAGTGTCAGACCTAAGTAAAAGAGCAAGTTTAAATATTTTTTCACATTGTTCTCCATTAAATCAACGTGGTGACTGAAACAGCTGCACACGATCGATTCATTTTGTGCAGAAGAAGAGTCACGCCTTAAACGCCCCTTTTTATGTGAACGTACACAGAATCTGAAGCACAAAGTCTGAGTTGACAGTGAAAGTTGAAAACCACCTTTATCCCTGATTGCAGCTTTTGTCTTTGTCCAGCCGGCTTACACACAGAAAGCCCGGCTCTGTCCAACTTGCTTCATAGTACAGCCCTCTCCTGGATGTGTACTCTGGCATGTTTGTTTTTGTTTTCACTCACTGTTTTTTGTCATTTTCAATCGTAGTTTGCTGTTGTTTTCAACTGCTGTTCACTGTAGTTTTCACTTTCACAATGTCACTCACTGTTTGTCATTTTTATTGCCGACTTTACTGGTCACTGTTTTGTTTTCAGTGACTGTTTGCTTTTGCTTTCAGCTGATGTCGTCTGTCATTGTCAGTCAGTGTTTACTTGTGTTTTTTAGTTGTTTTTTCATTGCTTTTAGTTGTTGTCTGTTATTTTCAGCGGTTGTTTTCGGTTACTGATTTGACGTCATGTTTATTTGCTGTTTATTTTTGTTTTTAGTGGTTGTTTACTGTCATTTTACGTTTACCTGCTGTTATCAGTCGTTTTTTTACTCCTATTTTTAGTAGCTCTTCACTGTTTCAGTCACTATTATCTAATTAATGTCTTATTCATTTTCTGTTTAGTTTTGTTTTTAGTAACTCTTTATTTTTCTTTCTTTCCTGTCATTTTCAGTCCCCTTTCAACTATCATTTTCAGCTGCAGTTTTTAAAATCACAGAAAAAGAAGTATTTACCGTCTTCATTTAAGATACTGTACTAGGTGCTGCACCTGTCCAGCACCACATGATGTTTGTCTGTTGACGTCAGTGAATGAGCTTCAGCACCTGATAAGATGAGTGGAAAAGCAACATTTTTGTGATTCCACTGAGCTGTGACAGGATGACTCATATTTCTACCTAAACCCCTAATAAAGGCAGAACTGTCTCACTGGGAGTGTTTGTTGTTTCTGTTTCGTAACTTGTGTGCACTTGTGTGTCGTCCTTTACTGCTGAGCCGTCGGAAAATACCTGCCGCAGGTGCAGCTGGTCGTACCCACATTTACAGCTACACTCAGTGCGGGTGGGAATGTAAGAGTCACTTTAAATAATCCGTGAACATCAAAATGACTGTTTTGTTTTGATGTTCACATTTCTAAATATGGGCTGCAAGGTGGGGCAGTGGTTAGCACTGCTGCCTCGCAGCAAGAAGGTCGCCAGTTCACATTCAGATGAGGACACCCGGGATCTTTCTGCGTGAAGTTTCCATGTTCTCCCCGTGCAGCGTGGGTTCTCTCCGGGTTCTCCGGCTTCCTCCCACACAGTCCAAAAACATGTTGAGGTTAATTGGTGATTCTAAATTGTCCGTAGGTGTGAATGTGAGTGTGCTTGGTTGTCTGTCTCAAAGTGTAGCCCTGTGATAGACTGGTGACCTGTCCAGGGTGTCCTCTGCCTTCACCCTGAGTCAGCTGGGATAGACTCCAGCCCCCCATGACCCTAGTGAGGACTAAGCAGTGTATAGATGATGGATGGATGTTTTCTGAGATCTGAACTATTACTCATGTTTATCAGTTAATTTACTACTTAAGTTTTGAGCCGCTGTTATCTTTCATTTTCACTCCCTGTTACTTTATTTTTGTATTCTTGTTCCTGCTCTTTTTAGTCGTTGATTTCTGCCCTTTTCACTGTTTTCTCTTCATTTTAGTTGCTCTTTTTAAAAGCTTTTTACGTTTTTAATCACCGTTTGCTGTCATTTTCACTTCTAATTCTTGTTTTCACTCTTGCTTCTGTTGTTGATTTATGTCATTTATATTTGCTGTTTACTTTGGTTTTTAGTTAATTTTTGTTTTCAATTATTGTTTTTTGTATTTTTTAGTCAGTTTATTGTTTTTTTTTGCTGTCTGTCATTTTCACTCACTGATTTCTTTCATTTTTACTCCCTCTTTACTGTTATTTTCATTTTTACTCACCGTTTGTTTCAGCTATAGTTTCCTGTTGTTTCTGTTGCTGATTTATATCATGTTCATTTGCTGTTTGATTTTGCTTTTAGTCGCTTCTTATTTTCTCTTTAGTGTCTGTTTACTGTCACTTCCATTAAATATGTTCTATTGTTTTCTCTCACTGTTTACTGTTGTTTTCAGTTGATTTTTGGAATTTTCTCTCACTCTTTTCTGTCTTTTTAACTCACTGCTTTCTCCTATTTGTAGTTGCTGTTTACTGTCACTGTGTCACTTTTACTGATCTGTACTATTGTTTACCCCTGCTCTCATTTTCACTCGCTGTTAGTCATTTTAATCACTGTCTGCTTTTGTTTCCAGTTTGTCATTCATGCACGTGCCACGAACAGGATTTCTCTACTTTTGGATGTTTTCTTGAACTTGATTTCTCAGCAGCAATCTGTTTTTTATGACTCAGATGAGATTTGTTTTAATCCCACAAGAGCTGAGAGCATTAATCCTCACCTGCTGTCATCTTCAGACAATGTTGTTTTCAGTCACTCATTGAATGTATCAGGATAAATGGCAAATCCTCACCTCCGCTCTGGATGTCTCCCCAGCCGGTGACCCAACAGGATGTTCCGGACGGGAAGTCGCTGTCCTCTGCCGCCAAACATACCGGTCGGATGTAGTCGGTGAAGTCGACGGCTGAGGACAGCTGCAGCAGGGCGATGTCGTTGTCGTTGGTGACGGAGTTGTAGTCGGGATGTCTGATGACCCGCAACAGCGTCCGTGAAACCTCGTTAGGATTCAGGCTCTGCTGGGTGTCACGTCCGAGGTAAACGATCAGACCCAACGTGCTGTCGCTGAGAAAGGAAAACCAGCATGGTCAGATACAGTCGTCCTCAAATGTATTCATACCCTCCCAATAAAGAAGAAAAAAAGGCACTGAAATAAGCTGAAATTGACAAAAGTAATAATAAAAAACACAATTAATCAAAATCATGACATTGCTTTTGAATTGTGGTTCAACAGAAATATTTAAAAAAACAAAAAAAAACAAAAAAAACAAGCAAACCAGCATGATGGGAACCATAAACTAATATTTTGTTGAACAAGCCTTTGAGACAATCAAGTGTTTTCTGTAACTCTCAGTCAGACTTCTGCACCTGTTGACAGCAAATTTGATTTTTGGCCCACTGCTCACCGGCAAAGTGCTCTTCTTTTTTTTTTTTTTTTAATTATTATTTTCAACCACAATTCAAAAGCAATGTCTTATTTCACTAAAATATAATTGAGCAAATTTTTATTTATTATTACTTTTTCCAGTTTCTAGTTATTTGAGTGACTGTTGTCAATTTTGCCTTTTCTTTAATGGAAGCGTATGAATGCATATGAGGGCTGTACATGGCAGCAGACACAGTAGCTGGTTCACGACTGGGTTCAGACAGGTGAGAGTCATGTGACCGGAGCTCACCTGGAGAAGCAGTGAGCTGCAGTCACGATCCAGTCTTTGGTGACCAGCGAACCTCCGCAGAAATGTCCGAAAGCGGTGTGCAGACTGGCCTGCCACGGCCACGTCCCTGCAGGCGCATCTTCACCGCCCACGATCCGGGTGTTCAGAGGAGCGGTGCCGCAAACTGGAGGCAAAAGAAGTCAAAAAAATCTCTTTGTCTTTACATTATTTTACACTCACTGTTTACTGTCATTTTCCATTGTTGTTTATTTTAGGTTTTTGTTGATGTTTCTTCATTTCCTGTTGCTGTTGTTATCAGTCAATCTTTTCTCTCCCCTACTGACTGTTTTCATGTTGTTTTTATTCACTGATGTGTCATTTTCCCCTTGCTGTTTAGTTTTTTTTAGTCCCTGTTGATTTTGTTGTTGTTGTTTACTGTCATTTCCCCCCTCACTATTTATTTGTGTTTTCCTTCACTCTTTTCTGTCGCTTTCAGTTCCTTTTAACTTTAATTTTTAGTCATTTTCAGTCAATGTTTTTCATTTTTAGTAACTGCTTTTAATCACTGTTTACTTTCATTCACATATGTAGGTTTTATGATTTATATTTTTTGTTTTCAGTTGTTGTTTTCTGCCACTGTTTACTTTCTGTTTAAGTTGATGTTTTGTTATTGTCAGTCACTGTTTACACTTCCAGCCAGTATCAACTGTTGTTTTTATTCCCTGATTTGTTTCATTTTCCTTTGCTGTTTATTGTTACTTTTTATTTAGTTGCTGTTTGTTTTTGTTTTTAGTTTGTTTACTGTCACATTCAGTTGCTATTGTTTTCACTTAATGGTTGTTTTTCACTCACTGTTTACTGTTGTTTTCAGTCTCTTTTTTACTTTAGTGTTTACTTACTGTTTACTGTGATTTTTAGTCAATGTTTTCTATGTTATTTTTAGTGTTATTTTCAACCACTGTTTACTGATTTACGGTGTTTATTTCTGTTTAGTTTTGTTTTCGGTTGTCATTTTCAGTTGTTTTCTGTCATATTCAGTCACTGTTTATTTTTTTTTTAAGTTGTTGTTTGTTGTTGTTTATTCTTTCTTTCTTTCAGAGCAATACAGTTTTTACAGTAAAAGAACAGGACTCACCATCCAGCTGTGCACAGCCTCCTGGAAGACACACAAAAAAAATGGAACAGGATTAGAGATGTGACAAGAAGGGAGTCAAAGCAAAAGACTTACCTGAAATAAATTACTTTAGAAAATATAACCAACAGACAATGTGTTTTCCATTCTCAGTCACTGTTTTCTGTTTTCATTTGCTCATTTGTGTCGTTCTTTTTTCTTTTGCCGTTGAGAATTTTTTAGTAGTTGTTCTCATTTACTGTGTATTTTTTTCTTTTGCTCACTGTTTTTTTTTTTTTTTGTCATTTTACAATAAAGTTAGTGACAAGACGGAGTCAGAGAAGTAGAACTGTACCTAAATTAAATTAAAGAAGAATAAATAGCCAACAGAGAATGAGCTTTCTATTTTCCATCATCGCTTTCCTTCATGTCTCTGATTAACCCGTAGAGAATGTACTTTTTGTCCTGTGGAGGTGTTTGTGGTCAAATACGCTTGCATAGGTTTTTCCAGTTTGCCGCACAGCTAACCTCTGACACAGTGGCATTCACAATGGCATGTCTGCTCTTAGAGAGCTGAACCGACCGGTTTATTGACAAGAATGAGCTTTTTTCCATCAGGGCATGTCGCTGGGTGAGGCATCAGAGTGCATCTTTTCAAGTTCTGTTCCAAGTAGACTCGTGAGGCAATACACCGTTCATCACCAGGAATGACAGTTATTTTCTCCGTCGACTGTTTCCTTGATGAAGAGATGATTTATTTGTTTCAGAAAATAGTAAAAAATTTGGATCAGTGTTCGCTAAAATGTCCAAAGACATTCAGTTTAATGTCATGGTGGAGGAAAGAAACTAGAAAATATTCACACTGAAGCAGCTGTAATGACAGAATTTAGACAGTTTTTGTTTTAGAAATGACTCAAACCAGTTAAAATAGCTGCAGAATCATTTATTATGAATTAATTCTTGAAGTTTAAATGCTTATAGAGGACAAACATATCTTTTCCAATCACATTTCTATTGTTTTATTGAACGCCGTTCGCCTCATTGTCGACCCTGGAACTGCAGTTTAGTTCAGTTTTGAGGTGTTTATACTTCCCCTTATAGTTCCTGTATTCCATGTAAAGGAAAAAAAATCACAGACATTTCAGATATTTTTTGGCTTGTTTAGTTGTTCGGCTTGTTTTTCTTTATTCTGCTTCCTCATTGCAGATGAATATGAAATTGACAAGACAGTGTTTCCTCATTTGTAATAAATATATATTGTTGTTGTTGTTGTTGTTTTTTTGTCTTTCGACTTTATTGGGTAGGATCATAGAGAGAAAGGCAGAAACTAGGGAGAAGAGTCGGGGAAAAACCTGCAGCAACCGGCCACGGGCTGGACTCACAGGAAAACTGGAGGTTGAAATAAACCACTTTACAACAAACTCTAAAAGGTGTGAACTCAACGTGAGCAAACAACCTCCACAGATCTGCATTTAAAGTGGTTTCCCAACATTTTCTTGACACTGTGATGTTTGAGACAACTCAGTGTCGAACTGCAGTAAAGCATTTGTTATCAAAAGGTTGGAACCGAGCTGTAATTACTCTTATTCTGATGTTTAAACAGAAAAGTGAGGGCAGCAAATCAAACAGTGGATATGAAAGACAGTAATCATCAGGCAAATTACAACAGAAGCCATCGGCCTTGTTTATGCCTCGTGTTTCCTCGTTCCTCTTGGTTTTATCAGTTTGTGATGCAAGTGTTAAAGGAGGGTTTTGTTGTTGTTGTTGTTGTGTAAAGCATTGTGTTGTGTTATGTTCTATTTGTATGATCTATCTGATGTATCGGTTCGTATAAAACCTGATTGATTGTCACTTCTTCTGCAAAAACTATTGGCTCCCAGCTTCCTTCTGCATCCAAATGTTTCTTTTAGGTTTGAGGAAAATGTGCAAAACAAAATGCAAATTAGCACCTGTTTCTGTCCTCTGTGGGAATGTTACATAAACAGTACAACCCGGTCGGTCACACAGCTCTTGTCGTGGTTTTACACTAATTTCGCTTTAATCTAAAACGTCTCTAAAAGTTCGCCAAACGTTCTGCTGTAAGAGTGAACACAACAGTCTTCATGCATCCCAGCATCTGACGAGCTGAACACCAAATGTCACAACAACACTAGGAAAATGCTAAGTGTTAGCAGGTTGTGAAGCTAATGTGGCTAACGTTAGCTTTGATGGTGTGAAGTTTAGGAAAGATTCTCTCAATCTGTTGTTGTCTCAGTCAAGAGTCATGAAAAGGCTCAGCTTTCAGTTTTTATTTTTTTATTTGGGGAGTTTTCCTTCATATTTGGCATATTTTGATTTAAGTTTTTTGATCGTTTGGCATCTTGATGTGGTTGTTGTACTAAATGTTGGTGCTTTAATGTGATTTTTGTATTGCTTTTGTCAGTCTGCATGTCTTTGTTACCATGTTTCTGCATATTTAAGGTCATTTTACGCCATTTCTGTGTTATTTTGCATCTCTAATTGGTCGTTTGCATTTATTTTTTGGCAGTTTTGTGTCCAGTTTTGTTGTTTTGTGACCGACATGTTGGGAACAACAGCAATAAATATCCGCCGATGTTTGACGTAAACAGTCAAACTGGCTCTTCTGGATCTCTGTAGGTCAGATTTTTATTATGTAATTTTTACTTTTGTATTTATGACAGGTGATTTAAAAAAACAAAAAGTCAAATGTAAAACCAGTTTGTTCCTCTAAACACAGCAGAGGAAACAGTCAAAGCTCTTTATTGTGTTCTGGAGTCAATTTTAAAAGACTTTATATTTCGATCAGTCGGCACACAATAATCCAGAGTACGTTTTGTTGGTAGAAACGTTAATAAAATGTAAAAGTGAGGTTTGTTGTGTAGAAGCTCTGAATGAATGTCAGTGTTTTCCTGTAGGTGTTTGTATCTTTTTGAGGGCATTTTGTGTTGCGTCTCTCTGGTTGTCTGCCTTAAATTTTGTCTGTTTTGTGTCACATTTTGGTCGTTTTGTCTCAACTTGTGATCAGTTTGCATCTATTTGTAGTTATTTTGCGTCTCTTTAGGGTAATTTTGTGTCTCATTTTGCATTTAATGTCGGTTGTTTCGTGCCATCTTGTGTCCTTTTGTTCCACGTTTTGGTCCTTTTCCAACTCTTTGAGGTCGCGCTGTGCGTCTTTGAGATCATTCTGTGTCGTATTTAGGTTGTTTTCTTTCACATTTTAGTACTTTTGTGTCTGATTTTGATCGTTTTGCGTCTCTTTCTGGTTGCTTGCATTTAATTTGGGCTGTTTTGTTTCAAATTATTTCAAATTCTGACTATTTTCTATCTCTTTGTTGCCATTTTGTGTCTCATTTGCACATTCTTCTGAACAAACAGCTCAGATTTATCTTGCGGCCCTCTGGAGGGACTCGACCCACATGTTGGAACCCTTGAACTGAACTCAGCAGTAAAAACCAGCCGAGGCTTTGTGAGAATTAATCAGCAGGATGTTGAAACTGTCACATTTTTGTTCTTCTGGTCTAATTTTGATCATTTCCATCTTATTTTTTTGGATTGTTTGCCTTTAATTCTGCCTGTCTGGTGTCACATTTAGTTGATTTGTGTCACATTTTGACCATTTGGCACCTCTGGTTTAATATATTAAGGCAAATTAGGATCCTGTCTGACTTTCTGCCGACAGATTAGTGTGCAAATGACTCGACGTTAATACCAAGATTAGTGTTTACCTGATGTACCGAAAGTCTCTGTTTTGTTCAGGATATCTACAACATCTACAATATTGTTGAATATTTTTTCTATTGTTTCAGATTTCAAAATATTCTTCTATAAAGATAACAACTAGAAGAAAATAAAAAATAACTTTGTACTTCTGAGAGCTTTAAAGGGTTTAAATGATCAAATAAAGAACCACAGAAGTTTAAAATTGCCTGCAAAACAAAGAAGGTTCAAGCTAAAGGTTGTCTGATAAAACAATATGACACCTGCTCTGAGAATAAACTCAGAGACACTTTCTGGTGCGTCTCTGAGTGTAAATGAATCTCGTGAAGCTGTTAAAAGTCTGACTTGTGCCACTAAAACACGCATTAAAAGGTGAATTTCTCACCTGAGATGATGCAGGCGAGCAGGGCGACTTGGAGCAGCTTCATGTTGAATCTTCAGACTGACCTCAGCTGATCGGTGACGGAGTTTCAGAGTCGGGAGGCGTCGACATGAAGCTGTGTCAGCGAGTCACCTCCTCTACAAACAAGCAAACAGCAGGTATGAGGAAGGTCTGGAAATACCTGCACAGGCTGTTTCAGGTGACACGAGGAACCTGTTCAAGTTCATGTTGGATGTTGTGTCAGCCTGAGGTCACCAGTTGATCTTTCCACAGCTTTGTGGTTATTTTTTTTTCTTTTAGTTTTGTGTAGATTTGTGTCATTTTGTGTCCCATTTTGATCATTTTGCATCTCTTCAGTGACTTTTTTCCCCACATTTCTTTGACATTCACATCTTTTCACATTTTGTCTAATTGTGACCATTTCACATCTATTTCTGCTCTTTTTTGTCACTTGTTTGTGTCTCTTTGAGCTTATTTTCTATCACATTTGGTCATTTTCTGTCACATTTCGATCATTCTATATCTTTGTTGTCATTTGTGTTTAACATAGTTGGTTAAAATAAAAACATAGGCTGTTTTGTGTCATTCTAAACTTTTTCTTTCACATTTTGGTCATTTTTGTCTAGTTGTCATCATTTTTCATGTCTGTCTGGTTGTTAGCATTTAATTTTGATTGTTTCATGTAACATTTTGTCAGTTTTGTGTCTAAATGGATGAACTCTGCATCTTTCTCTGGTTGTTTGAATGTAAGTTTGGGACTTTTGTGTCACATTTAGGTTTTTCTATTGAAGATCATCAGCAGCCTGCTGCTCCACCATCAGTTATTTACGATAAACTATGGATATTTAAAATCTGTGAAATTTTAGCTCAGTATGTCAAATGCTTACATAATCTTTTTTTTTATGCCATATATAAGTTCTAGTTGAAGAATCACTTTGAACTTGTCATACCTGCTGAATCTGTTATTAAAGTTAATCATAAGAACTTTTACACTGTAAAATGTGACAAGTTTATCTTACTTATATGAATCTAAGACACCGGTTGCTCTCAAAAAAGGTAAGTAAATATAACCATTAGCTTTAAATTCAGTTTGCTTCATATCTATTATTAGTCTGACTTAAATGAACAGTTCTACTCACTAGAATTTAGGAAACGGATCGCCTTAGAAAAATGAAGTAAGCACAACAAAGAATGATCAGTTTGCATGGTTTTTTTTTTATTATTTGAATGAAAATGCCATGCAGAGAATGATATCCACTGTTTATGGAAACAAATGAAATTATCCAATTGAACAAATACAATTTAAGCCTTATAAAATAATTAGGGGCGGGACCCGATTCAAAAAACTCATTTACTTAATTAGAGGCTTTGTAATTACTTAATCTCAACTAATTGCATAACAATGTAAATTTTTCAATTTAAATGGATGTCGGTGTATTACTGAATCATACATCCATTTAAACAACAAATCGTTGTTTATTTTACAACAGAGCAGTACTGGTTTTAATGGTAAACAAATGTCAACCAACAATTCAACATAAAGTGTCATTTGTACCACGTAAAATGGTCAAACAAAAACCAGAAATGGTCCTTTAACTGACCTAGATCTCTTTTATACTCAGTATCCTGAGCAAAAAGCTCTGTTGTACTATAACATATAACATACATAGACAACATAGGCTGTAACAGTTTGATCAACATTTTAGTGCAAAAACAGCAAACCCACTGGCCTCACAGTACCTCAAAACCTATTTCTTCTCCCTCTTTTTCAGCCGGTTGCTTCAGCAAACTAGCCTGTTCACATTTTCAGAGCTCAGTGCAGCTATGAAGTTGCAAAACTTACATGTTGTCCACTGCATCAGTGTTGGTTTTCTGTCTTCAAGCTGTTAACAAAAAGTCATAAAAATGGCAGCAACTACCGTACTTTCAGTTTTCACACCTGAAGTCAATGAATTTGGCCAGAACATACAGGGTATTTTCTGTCATTGGCATTTTTGCTTATTCTAGGACCCAGAAATACCACAACTAAACAGTTCTGAGCAACACACATGTGAGTGAGCGTGTTGCTCAGGACTGTTGGTTCTGACTGTGGTCTTTGTACCCAGAGTGCTCTGCCCAAATTTGTTGGCCTCATTTGTAAATGTTACTTTGCATGTGGCTCACACACAACACATGCTTTTGCCTGCATTCTGCATTCTGCATTGCCAGAACTTTGTAATTTTAGAATTCTGCTTCAAATGAGCGTTTGCAGTTCTCATTGTGGATGTACTATAGCTAACATTACAGACTTACAGGTTTAGTTAGCTGCCTTGGCTATTGTTAGCTAACATTAGCATTAGCCGGGAGTTTTAGTTTGTCATCACTATGTTCAGAAAATGTCACAAAATTTCAGTTGTGAATAATGAAATGATAGCTGACAAATATGGAATTAGTTAGTGAAGTTTAATAACTTACCAAGAGACTCAGAAAATGTCGGTACAGTTTCTGGAAACTTCTCCTGCACAGTCCATGAGTTAAATGAACAAGACAATGAGAAATAAATAAAGTACACTGATGTGATTCAAGTAAACATAGGTATTACCTTTTAGAGTGTATTTTCATTTATATGATCAAGTATTTCATATTAAAAAACATTCTAAATGTTTAGTTTCATATCATTGTGAGAGGCAGCTACATGTGGTTCAGGAAGGTTTAAGATAACACCTCATTTGCATATTTAAACTTAACATTCAGGACAGTTGTGATGCAAAAACTAATGATGTAGATGTAATTAATCAGCTGGTGAAGTTTCTGAGTTACATTTATGATTTTTGTTTCATCACTGAAAAAAGGGCAGAAAAAAGACATTAATCACAATTATCACTTTTGCAAAAGAAAAACAAAGAAAAGCAGCTGTTTTGATTTCTGTGTGTTTTGTTGACCAGAATGTAGGTTTAAATTAAAATATAATATTCTAAAAATTATTAGTCATTTTGATCACAGAGAGTCACCTGAGTCTAGTTTTACTGTTTATATGTATAAACTCCTCCTCTGCTGTCATCTGCTGGAAATAAGAAGAACTAGTTTTATTTCCTTTAACATGGATTTTAAATTGAAAGTATGATTTAATAAATTTCTCTTTAATTAACTTACAACCAGACGAAAGTCAGTGACAGCTGGTAATGTAAGCCTTAACTTACTTTTTCCTTAAAAAAAAAAAAAGTTCTTATCTTTATTTATATTTTATTTATTTTTCTTATGTTTTTTTTTCTGATGTGTGTGTAAATTAACTACCATCTGTGTACGGTTCAGTATAAATAAACTTACTTGCTGACATTTATGACACATTTATTCTCAAATTCTGATGGGTTTTTTTGTTTCTTTCTTTTTAAGCGCTTGAATGAGACAAAAATAAATATAATGAGTAAAATAAAGCTCTGGGTTTTTGTTGTTGTTTTGAAGGAACTCCCCTTCCACCGACACTTCTTTTGAAATACTGACGTTTTTAGACTTTTCTGGTCTTCTAATAAATGTGCAGTGTTCTGAAGCACATTTTGCCATTTTGCAGTAATCCTTAATGTCTTGTGAAAATTTCGGCTTTGAAGAAATGTTGCTGTTTAAACGACATAAATATCAAAAAATATCTTTAATTATGTTTTGGTCCATTTGAGCATTAATTATTTGACCACGTTTGCTTAGTTATGAGACAATATTTTTCTTTTCGGTGTGACAATATTCGCTGAGTCAGTATCGCTGTAATTTTTGATTTATTGAACATTTATTGTGTTTGATCTGTTTTGACATCCAGATTTTGATCCACCTGATTCTCGCCGCTGCCAGAAGCGAGTAGAAACTTCTTCCATGTGACGTCATCACGCACAGCGCCGCGCCGAGCTGTGATTGGACGAGAGGTTCAGCGGAAAGCTCGAGAAGAACCGAGAAGAGACAGAAAAGTATAAAATAACAGAGAAACAGCGACATGAAGACAAGAACCCAGCGACAAGAAGACAGACGGGAGGAGACAAACTTGTTCTTTTCTCTTCGACATACTCTCTCATCTCTTCAGCCACAGTAAGTACGATTCTAAGTTTCTTCTGGAGGTTAATTTAACTCATTCGTTTTACCGATATTTCACTGCTTCACCAAACTCCCTTTAAAAACTGTCTAATTTAAGCTGCTGTGGACTTTGGATTAATGTCCAGCAACACCTGTTTTCTTCTGTCGTTTCAATTTAAGAGCTTAGTTTTAAATGTATGTTAACTGTATTGATTTTTTTTTTGTAGCTGTTTGAAATTTGGTTCCGATCATAATACTAACTTTAAACACTGAATAAAGTATTTGGAAAGATGGCTTAACCAAACCTGATTGACAAACTGCCCATTTTAAGATGATTTATTCGTTGGATGAATAAAAAGCTACGTGAAACCAATTTTAGGTGTTTATACAAAAACATTAGAGGCTTCTCCACATTTCGGCAGTGTAATAATTATTCTGTTGTTTGACAATAAGACATATACAGACCGTAACAGTGTATTAAAGTAAAATAAAATAGAAATGTAATAATCCCGTAGGAAATTCTTGTGCCAGATATTTCTCACAAAAAAAAAATCACAACATTAGAGTAGATGCAGTTAATAATAGAAAAGCAGTGAGATATAAGCATGAT